ATCCTTGTTTCGCAGACCTGTACTGTGCTGTGCTTGTGATGGAAAACTGAAAGGAACATCCCAAACCTGTGCATTTGGGGATGATTCCGTCATCTTTTGCAGTGACTTGATACTACTACACTGGAACGACATGATCCAGCGAAACAGTGGGATCTTACTGTACGTTCGATGTCCAGTGTTTCCACAACTGTTTGGTGGACTTCACGATCCAGTCCGTTTCTCACCTCCAGTCCGCGGAGTCCGAGTCCCTTCGGTCCTGGTCACGCTAGTGGTTGGCACCAGGGCGGTCGCCAGGGCGGTCGCCCTCGGTGGAGTCGGATCGGACAGTCGCAACGGCGTCGTCTCGCAAGCCTTGCAAGGCAGAAACATCCATGGTCCATAAACCATTTGAGAAGGGACTCTTGGAATCCTGTTAGCCAGTGCGGGCCAGTACCCACCTGAAATGTCCGATAAAAGCACTTCTGGAATCATTTGGATCCTTAAAAAAAACAACAGGTATGCTTTAAGGTCCTAAGGCATCCGATTCATGACAAGTCTCAACGCCCGGTCAGACAGCTGTCGCGGGTATCCAGGAAGAAGCCCTCGAGGGTGTTGGTGCATGCTGCTTCCCAGGAACCCTCTAAGAGGTACATCATGTGTATTGACTCAATTGTATTCAATTGTTGCCTACTGTATAGTACAGGAATCATATGTCTTCAAACACTTGACACGGCTATTCAGCTAGTTTAATGACATGTAGTGTTTCTTGACGAGGTCCAATTCCATTGCCAGAAGCACCCGCAGCCCGTCCGTGACTTGCCTCGGATGTTGAGGGCCTTCCCCAGTGGATCCAGGCAGAACCACGAAAAACCACTCCTTTCGGTCTACGTCTACGGTTCGGAACTCGTTGGAACGGTGACCTACGAACTCGTGAGCTTGGATCCACTGAGATGTTGGAACTGGTTTTGGAATGCCTTGGATGGTTCGGACAGGTGGTGTTCAAGGACTTGGTGGCCGGCGCTGGGCCTTGCGATGGAGCTACAACTTCAGACGGTTGACGCTGGGTATCAATCGATAGATCCACCAGGATGGGGTGTTGTTTGATTGGGCTCCAAACACATCCTCAGAAGGCATAGAAGGCATGGACTTCTTCTTCACACGCACCCACCCTAGGCCCTAAGCACCAAAACGGAAGTAGGCCAGGAGCCCTAGGAATGAACATCGGGTGTTTTGATCCGTGAGAACGTCTTGAGTCTTGCTGGCCTTTGCTTGGGGATCACTTGATCCTGTAGATGTTGTCCCTGTTTTCAATTTGCCTAGGGCATCCACAGCCGCCTCCTTTCCTTAAGGAAGTGTTTGAAAGCTCCAGTGATGTTGATTGATATGCTGGCTTCTTGTCGCTTTTCGTGCCGGGACATGACCCACGTAGCGATGCGAATCTATGCTGTACCAGAATCTTTGTTTTTGTGGAAGACTTGCCTGCTGGAGATGTGGAATAGTGACACCTTCCATGCAGATGCTGCACGAAACACTTGAACACTTGAATCGAATGAGGCCTCCGGAACGTCAGGTCCACTATTGATGATACAATCATACACTGTGTGCGAAATTATTGAGGAGGTTGCAACAACATTTTGTTTGCAAGGTGTGGCATGGAACACTGCATTCCGGCGGAGTTTTTGCTGTTCGCCTGTAGCCCGAAGATGCTGTCCTCTCATTTCCAGGAAGCGATGGGCGGTGTGTGAAGTGTGTTGGACGTATACTCGCGACCGACAGAAGCTGCATACCCTTCAGATCCAATTCCCCGGATCACTTTTTGGAGGAGCTTTTCATATGAACCACACTGAAGGCGCTTTTCTGTGTACAAGCATGATCATCACTGGGACTAACATCCTTTGGTTTCTGACATGATCAGAATACCAGCTCCATGTCGGGATGCCGAACTTGGAGGGTGAGGTTGCCCACAAATCAAACAACCACAAAGCAACACACTGACACTCAACAAAGGTTAAGACATATATCGGCAACGCCCACCATGACCGTCCTGGTGAGACTCCTCGTTCCAAAAATACCGTCCGCCCTGATGCCCTCAGGAAGCCGCGCTACGGAGGATCCTACTGGATTTGCCGAGCCGGATGCCCATCGAGCCTCACACGCCCATCGAACGCGACCCCCTGGCACCCCCAGTACAACCTTTTCGTCACCCGAAAGAGCCCGTGCTTGATGTACGGAATCCAAACATGATACATTCCCGGAAAATATAATGGAAGTGGATGCCATGGCCGGCCCATTTTGGATGACCATTTTCGGAATACCGAACCGGTGGTTTTCACTCCACACAACCTATTTTCCAGGGAGTGTTTCATCAGATCACCGTATTCACAGTGGGTCGGACTGGGGCTCCAGTTTTGATCGACCACCATCATGTATTATAAATTAGACATGTGTTTAATTACAATTGTTTCAGAGTAGATGTGACAATCCCCAACGATGTTTGTCCTTTTCGGGATTCTGCCACTTACAGTCTGAGTGCCCATGGAACCGTGTTGAGGCCTGGCTGGAGGGTTTTTGAGGTCAAGCAGGTAACATATGATAATATATTTGTATACCTTAAACCATTCAAGATTTGGCGCTTAGAACAAAATCCGCCTCTCGTGTTTTGCTGGTAGAAGGGAATCTTGTCATTTGTAATGTTTTTGGTGGTCTTCCGCTGCTGCTGCCGACAGCTTGGATCTATCAACATGATAAAACATTATCGGTCACCAAGCAAACAGAGTTTCATCATGCTTGCTAGCAACTGCGTCCAAACCCAAAAACAGCCATTTGAGTTTCATCATCAGGCCCGGCGTAACTCTGCGAGGTGTTTGGCGTTTGGAGGTCTTTCAAGGCAGAGTTCATAGGACTAGGCAGTTGCTGGATTTGCAACCTGGGCGCCTGCAACCGGCAGAAAACAAAGGTAAAATGTTTAGCAGGGAAATGTTCATACGAAAACACTGACTATAGAGGTGAGTATCAATACCTATATAAACGAACAGCCCCACCTGCGGCCGTTGGAGCTCTGACATCAGGGTTGCATCGTCACCATCAAGTTTGTCCACATCTTTCTCTTCTTTCACTAACGTCAAACCAGCCATCAGGGTCGAACTCGAAAAAATACGGGACGGAAGCTGACACGCCATTTCCCGGTTGGATTAGAGACGAGCCTGAAAGCGGCAACCTGTCGACTTGACACTATCACTATGCCAAAAATTCATGACCGGGGAATTCCGCCTCTTACCCGGGAAGTTCCGCCTCTCGTTGTTTCATGTGCTTAATGTGTTTGCATACGTTTCATGTGTTTCATGTGTTTTCATTGTGTTTCATGTTGTGTTTTAATGTGTTTCTTTTTTTTTCATTTGGCTCTCCTGTGCTTTCAGGTGTTTAATGTGGCTGTCATGTGTTTCATGTTTTTCATATGCTTCATGTTTTTCATGTGGCTTTGATGTGTTCATGTGTGTTGATTATATTGCGCGATATCATGTTCATATTGGCAATTTTCCACTTGGATTGGCCTGCAAAAAAGAACCCCACAAGTCCGGTTCGACCTGCCTGAAATGCAGGTGTTGAAGGGGGAAAGCCGGACTTGTGGGGGTCTTTTTTTGCAGGCCGATCTAAGTGGAAAATTAGCAGTTCACATATCTCTCTCTATATATATAGTTTCATGTTGTGTGTGTGCTCACTTGTCCACAGTGAGCTATCATGCCTTCATGTGTTTCATGTTTTATCATGCTTGAACCTTTTGAATGCATATAATATATAACTTATGTTTTGTTTCATGGTTCGGGGTTTGTGGTGTTTTCTATATGTTAAGTGTATAAGTTTCATTGTTATCACGGGTATCATATGTTCTATCAACATAACTGGGGATGAATCTATGTAAACCAAGAATCGTCTCTTGCAAAAAAAGTTACCTCTCAGTTCCTAGAGGCGCCTTTTAGGTTAGAGGCGCAAAAAGTGCAGCGGTAGGAAGATATATATACACTTGCCGCATGTGGACAAAACTGTCTTGTAATTAGATCTGAGGGGTTTCCGACGGTGGGTCAAAATCGATCATCGCCATATATACCACCATACAGTAAGCCCTTTGATGTTTATAGCTATAGGCTATGGGCGACCCACCACTCAAAAAATGGCCGCATCGATTCGAACAAGTATCAAACAGGTTCTAGCATGTTCTAGGCAGCAGCAAGCTCTTCAAATGACTTGAGGCTCCAGTGACTGGGGCGAAGTTTACTGGCATACGTCTTACTTCATACCCTTCTTTTGAGGCAAGTTCGTTCACGAAATGGTTTTACAGGAACATCTACAGGCAAGCCTTTGTTGGATTCGGACTTTTCCTGTAGGCGTTCCTCATAACTGTCTGAGAACTGCATGAGGATATGACTTGGGCTATGCTGCCCTTGGTGCATGCACACAATCTGCAGCCAGAGATGCTCCACTGTTCAGTCATTCTGGCACGTCAGGTGACTAGGCTGTTAAATTAAGAGTCCTAGATTTTGGTTTCCTTTCAGTCAGGGGTAAACTTTGAACTACCTTTCTTGGGGATTGGGTACTCCAAATTGAATAGCTGTGAAGCTAAGTGGGTGTCAGCGAAACTGAGGCAGAAGCTAAGTAGGTGCTGAAATAGGCGTTCATCCTCCGTTTGTGCGGTCTGACCGTCCCAAAGGGCCCCAAAGGGCCCCTGAAACCTCCAGATGAGACCTCTTGGGGAAGCGGTGTTTTTGGTGTGTTTTTTTTCATGGTCACTGGTGTGTTCATTAAGGTCTGCGGCATGTGGGTCGGGTGGGCGAAAGTCACCCGGTAGAGTCCCTGAGGCCCTGGTCTTTTGTAGGTCTGGTTATACCTACTACTGTAAAGTGGTTTGTTTGCCGGGATAGGTTTACACTCCCTGAAAGCCTGAAATCATCATCGAAGTGCATAGCATGGCCCCGTAAGGATAACAATGAAGTCCTCTACAAACAGCTGGTGAACTGCACGAAACCATGACGATTCCAGGGAGTGTAGATCATGCTGGGGTTGACTATGGTGAACTGGCTCTCATCCAATCTTTTTACAGGGGATGTGTGCCCTCTCTCGTGGTCACCCTTGGCTGCTCCCACATCAAGGACTTGAGTCTCCACCCCAACACACCCTCTGCGCGCGCGTGTGGTTCCACCGTTTGGATCAAGGGTGCCAAGTGTCGGCCATCAAGCCTCCCCATCGTGCGGGCGTTGCATGTGGATGCCTTGACGGCCCTGATGACCAGTGACGCCTGGATTGTGTCCATTGAGGCGGAGATCTTCGCACTACTGCAGTGCCTTAGACGTCCCAAAGAGTCAGTGGTTGTTTTGGTTGGATACTATTGTATACTGTATATTATCTAATATATAATATATTAGACAATATACAGTATAGTATTCACAGTACTATTTATGTTGCAACTTTTCTTTCAGTTCGATTTGCCTCCTTGAGGGCCCAATTATGATGTTTTTGTAAAATTCCCTGGCCTACATATATAAACCCGTAGAGCTCCAAGTGTCTCAGAAGTTGTTTGGAGCCTCTAACTCACCTCAAACACCTTTCTTAGAAGGTACTTGGAGCTCTAGGCAAACAAATCCCCACGGGCTCGGGCTTTGCTCGAACCACCCTCAGCATGGCTTCCATCATGACTTTCAGTGAATCGACGCAGAGACTGTTTGTCCATTTTTGCATTCCCTGCCAAGCATATTCAAACATGCTGGTAAGTGGTCATAAGGTATTTAATATATACTTGCATGCCTTTGTAGCATCACTCCTGACACCTGCTCAGATATTTTCCTTTTCTTTCTGTGTGTATGTAACTGCAACAGTGCAATTGTCCATCGCTCGAGTCTCTTTGACCCTGCCACGCCACTCTTCTTCCACATGACCCGCGCTGAGTGCAGGACCTGGATGAAAGCGCAGCCCTGGGTGAACTGGTCCAAGGCCTGGGATTTTCCATGATTTGGGATGTTCCTCAAAGGGGATCCCCCAAAGGTTTTCGAGGCCATCGGTACTCGTCGGTACGCCAGTCGTATCCTTGTAGATTTCGTTCCACGTCGGGTCAGGTCGTGTCAGTGACTGCAGTTTTTAGGCTGAAGGATCTGAAGGGACCAGGTTGATGTTCGTTTTTTGTTCCTTTAAATGGTTGATGCCAAAGGGCCGCGATATCGGCGATCGAAGGTGGAGAAGAACGACGAGGTCACTCAAGTGCCTCCGGAAGTCTTCGCGGCCTCTGCGAAGTGGGACATTAAATGGGGGCATTTGCATTCACAGCTGGTGCCTCGGCTTGATTTGTGTTTGTTTGTCCTTTTTTCCGAGAAAAGGGCTGCAGGCCTCGATGGTTCCATGTGGGTTCATGTGATCTGACATGATCTGATAGTTTTGAACATCACCCAGGAAGCAAGAAGTTGTTTGATGTGACCTGTTTGGAAGCTGAAACAAACACGCAGGAAGCCTTGGAGAACATGAAGTGAAGTATAGTGAAGTGATTTCTTCGGGTGATGAACATGTTGTTTCGCTAATATTATCATTATGTCATACTGTATATTTCATGGTCTGGTTCAGTGACATTCCCAAAGGTCCAGAGCTTGTTTGCTGATGGGTAGAGCTAGGTGCTTCAACTGTCAAATGAGATCAAACGTGCATGTAAATGTTCATGATTCTTTATCAAGGCCAACTTCTTCGACCACCCCGCGGATGGGTCACGGTATTTTCTTTCTGCGTCCATGGGCACCATGGGCGCCATGGCCTGTGAGATGTGTATCTACCCTGGGACAAAGTCTCCCAAGTTCTCTTGGTCGTTGGATACACTTCCACAGTAGAGCTCACTAGTAGAGCTCACGTTTTTTCACTTTTGATGAAGAGCTGATCTGTGGATCTGTCTACAAGACCCGGTTTAAAGTCAAGCTTCTTTGATCTCTTTTGGAACTGATCCTACAAAACTGATCCATGCCATCCTGGAAATTTCATGTTTCGAAGCCTTTGTGTCGACCTCCAGTAAGATGAGCTTCTTGATTTCTAGGGATACCTGAAGTTGGTCAACAACAACATCACAAACACTCAAATGAAAACAGTAGGTTTTCCCTGCCTGGCTGTTGGCTTTTGACAATTGCAGGCGATGCAATCAAAGCCTGTTGGTCAACTATAGACTATCGGTTTTTCATGGGTTTCATGGCCTCCGACTTTGTTACCCTTTGAAACCATCTCTATGACTTGCATGTTCGTCGAAGATTCACCATATCATCCGTACAATAGTCCTCCTATTCCTGCGACGTCCGTGTCCATAGACTGTCCCAATTGTGTGCCACGAACTGTAGGTGTTTGTTAAGTTTGGTCACTGCCCCAGTTTGATCACCTCTACCCATCCTCCAATGCAGCTACCACAATACCCTTCACACTTCCTCCTTCGGCGTCGGACCGGCACCGGAGGTCGAGAAGCTGATTGTCAACGGCGTGGTCCCCGAGACTTTGGCGCGGGACATCGATCGTTGGAGGAGCTCGGCCAATATCTTCCTGCCTCCCTTACCACAAGCCTTTGCACAGGAAGATCGGAGGAAGAGCCACTGAGCTCAGGACATGTTATTGTGTTGTGTTTCTGATTTCTGATCCTTTTTTTTGGGGGGAGTGGAGACTAATAAGTACTAAAGAAGCAAGGCCTAAGTCCCTGTTTTTTTTGCCGTTTCTTCGCACCCGTTTCAGGACCCACAAGGGATGCTGAACGGACACTCTTCTGGGTTTCATCCTTAACCTCTAAAGGGGCTACAATGGACATTTTTTTCGGGGGGCCCTGGGAGGGATCCACGTTTCTGGGGAGGATTTCTGAGGTTTGATAGGTTTTGCTGATGTAGTGTTCTCAGGATGGCTCATGTAGTTGATCAGGAATAGAGTGCCAAGTAGATTAGATTCCCTTCCCCAGGTTGTTTATTGCTAAATTGCGGTCACTCCATCCAGGGACCTAGAGAAATCATCACAGAAAGCCTTGTTTTGAACCAACTGTGATTTGTTGCATGGCTTCATCTGCAAGGTGGATTCATTTACAATATTTTACTATATGTATTATAATGTATTATAATTATATTAATCCAATTTCTGGTCTCTTTGTTTGTTGCTTTGTATGACTATGTCCCACCCCCACGTAACAGGCTATGTAATGGCATGGCCCCAGGCAAAAAGACCATGTAACACATCACGTCACAGTCTGAGTCCTGAGTTCTGAGTTCCAACTGTAATACATGTGATGTGATAGTGTATATGAGATATGATATGTTTTCTTTTGTCCATTTATATACTTGGGATATCTTGGTATTTTCAAGAACTCACTGACTCCTGGTTCTCGAACCAGCGTCACCAGTGTTTCTCCACGTACTTTGCAGCAATTTGGCTGGATGTTCCTCGTCTTTGTTCGAGCACAAAGCTGCGGTTTTGGTGGGATCGCCAGAGCCGTAAGACTTGGACCTGATGTGTCCGGTGTCCGGTCCAGGGTTTCGGCCCTTGTGGCTGGTCTGAAGGGGTGCAGGCATGTGGAGACCTGGTTCCCCCCCCGGGTGAGGCAATAGGTGAGGTTCCCCTCTGCACAGATCAGGCCAGAGAGAGGCTGAATTGCGCAGAGGTAGCACCCGCAGATCTGACCGAAAGAAGACGACGATGCGAGATGAAGAACTGAAGCGCACCTCACTTCAACAAGCCTGGACGCCTACAGTCTACAGTAGAGCTTGGGTAACTCCCTGTTTTGGGCCAGCCAAAACTATGACCGGGTGACCTGACTTTGACCACTAAAGCATACTGTGGGCAGGTAGGGTCTTAGGGACACCAGACACGTTCCTTTATTTGGATCAGAACATCATAAAGTTGGACCGCAAACTTGCAATGAATGTGCAAGCGTGCAATTGATATCTTTTGAAGAGTCATGGAGAGTCAATGAGTCAGACGGACAGTAGACAGAGAGAGAGAGAGAGAGAAACCCTGAAGACAACAACTTACTCTCCGACATTCTCCGACTCACTAACATGGAAGTAGATGGCTTGGACCAGCATGGAATGAATTTGTGGATGACATAAATTCTTGGTACGAAAAGGGTGGATTCCACTTCCATGTGATGTGTTTGTTGGCAGCAATAACATCCTGTTCTGATCGCACACCTGGTTGAATAAAGGCTTCCAGACCACCCTCGGCCATGCTCGGTCTGTGTGGCACCGGTCTTGTTTTGGTCCCATTCCACCGTGGCACTGCCCGCGGCTTGGAGATTTTCATGTACCACGGTACCACTAGGTGGCTACTGACATCATGTAGGCTGTTAGAGTCCTAAAACGTAGGCCTGGAGAGGTTTTAGTTACATGGTTTTACACTCCAAAGGAGGGGGGTTCATCAACAGATCATTGACCAGTGACATCGAGTGCGAAACGGTGCCAACGTGACCTGCGAACGGACGGATTGAACAGTGAGGACCTGCGTGGGCACCCTGTGGTTCGCAAATGGGACATGGTGGTTTCAGATATGTTTGTTAAACTTGGGATCATTGGCACCCACTGACTAATATTGTTTCTAAGAGAGCGGGTGGTCATGGGGCCTGGGTTTTGGTTTACTCAACAGTTTTAGGTAAATGCTTCAGTGGCAGCCCCTCTCCATATAAACACACATATAATCTATTCCTGCTCTCTCTAGATGAACAAATATACTATGTATTCCTGAGTCAGGGTCATTTTATTGTTTTGGAAGCAGCAATCAGTCATTCAGATGGTTTTGAACAAGATAATTAGGAAAGAAGCAGGCCATAAAAGTGTTTATTTTAACAATTGTCCTCTAGATCTTTGCTTATAATTATGTTTAGATTTGGAAAGATTGTATATAGACGCTTTTATGTTTTAAAATATTCTCTATAGATCTCTGCAGATAAAGATTTCTTAATTTAAGCAACTATATAGAAACCTTGTATGTTAAAAGCTGTTTTCTAGATTTCTGCGGGTAAGAGCTTGCATTTTCAAAGCTGTTCTTTGGATCTTTGGGAAAGTAGATATCCCATATACAGTATGTGTGTTTTCATGAAAGGAAAGCTGTTGAAAGAACACCTTATGTGTTAATATATATATATATCATGTTTAAATTGACATGACCATTTCCAGAGATCCAGAGGAAAGCTTTTGAAATGAAATATTTTTTTTATATATTTTATTGCAGAAATGATCATCCCCAGAGATCTAGAGGGAAGCTCTTGAATTAGAAGCTTGTACATACAACATGTTTAATATGTCTATATTATCTCTAGTGATTACTGTAAATAAATAAATCAAACTATGTACTCCAGAAAAGAGCTTTAGTCTTGTTCCCAGCACTCCCAGGGCAAAAACATACTGTAAAACACGGTGTTTTGTAGCATGTGTTTTCTTAAACTAAATAGACTAGAGCTAGAATAGATTTAGGTAGAATTAAACTGGATTTGAGTTGGAGCTAAGATAGAACTGAATTAAAACCACATTTCAACTAAACTTGTATTGAACTACAACTATGACCTTTTAAAATTAGATGAGAGTTGAATTAGAAAGGAGTTGGAATTAAAATTAGAAGTTCACCAGAATAAGATGTAGCAGAAATTACAAAGCCGAAGCAAATGCAACAAGCATTGAATTAGAACTACAGCTTACACAGATTCATAACAGTTTCATGTAAATTGGAAGGTGTCATTACAGTTTCATGTCAAGCTGATTGGACATGCAATTGGCAACCACATTGATACCAATCAGAAGTTAATGCACAGACTTGTACATGGAGATTTCGACAAGGACAAAGGGAGTGTTGGGCTCAGACGCTTTCATTGTAAGAGCAAAGAACATATGCCTTTAGGTGAGACTTAGGCTCACATGCTTGAAGGTTGAACGAAATAGAAATAACACAGATTGACCTAAATAGGAAAAACAAAAAACAAAACCTTGAGAAAACCAATAACAACCTAGGAAAAAAAAAAAAACTAAAAACCTTGGGCAAACCAACAGAAAAAACAACAATTCTGGGGAAGTCTTGAGGAAAGGGGGGATCCAGCCAAGAGTCTCTGAGAATTGTTTGTGTTTTTTCCCAAGGTTTTTTGTTTTGTTGGGTTGTCCTAGGTTGTTTTTGGTTTTCCCAAGGTTTTGTTGTTTGTTTGTTTTTTTCTAAGTCTTTGTTTTTTACCGCAAATTATTCAATGTTTTTTTGTAGTTTTGATTGTATTTGTGAAAACGTTGTCTACAAATACAGAAAACCAAAAACCCAGGCCCCATGGCCACCCCTTCTGTTTTCAAATGAGTTTAAACCACAAACCAGAAAAACTGTTGAGGCCAACAATTCTGAGGGTGATATTGTTTGGTGCAGGATGCCATCCAACAATCCAAATCGCAAACACTCTAGGGACTGGAATATTATAATATATGCCGCCACATTGACCCCTGAAATCAACCACCCCGACCCCAACTGATCGCTACAGGTGCCACTCCCATTGGTCGTATTCTGGAATGATTGTTGACCGACTGGAATGGAATTCTGGAGTTTTTCAACGCCCAAACCCCTGCACTCCGGGGACTGGCTTTAGTGCCATGGAAAGTCAGGGCGCCCAGATTGGCCACGGCGATGCGCCCAAAGCTGCACTGGTCCATTCTAACTTCGAAGATTCTTGTTTTTCTCCACCTTCGCATGTAAGGAGATGATGCCACGACACAAGGCGATCGAGCTGTTGCCAAGGCGGTTCGCACCATTCTGTCGGCCAAGGTGGCCCCAGGTAGCTCAATCCCTATCTCACCTGAGACCACCGAGTGGAGAACGCAGTCAGTGAAGCTCCATGCTCAATCTCCCAAGGATGCTTTTCTGGCCGCCCAGCCTGTGGGTGTTAGTTCTGCTTAGTTTCTCTATGTTTTTCTGTTTACAATCTGAGTCACTAACATGGAAGTGTAATTCACCACCTGTTTGGTATTCGGAACATGATCCTCCGGCGGACCATGGCATCCACGTTGGGTCGCCTTATTGTTTCAGGGAGTGTTCCATGCATTTGTTTATATCTACCAAGAGGTCACTTGGAAGGTCTTGGTATATAGAACTTATATTTACTTCGTATGCCGATGAAGTGTAGCTTCGTGTTTGCATATCAGTCAACTATCCATCTCAGAGAACAAATTAAATAGATGGATCATGATGGATCCCATTTCCTTTTTGAAGCCCTTGCAGTGCAGTCTAGGTTTTTCTGATTGCGTTGACTGAAGTTTGGTACGCATACTGATCAGTTCTGCTCAAAGTTATTTCTGATGTGTTGGGCACATCCCAAGACTACAAGAGCAACCCAGTTCAGCCTGAAACATTGGGGTCACCCACGCATGCAGCCCATTCACGGATTCTGCCCCTTTGTTTTCATGGACCAAACAAGCACCTCAGGATGGGATGAGCTCCCTGTGCGATGCTGTGGATTCTCGCTTTGGCTTCGCGTACCTGCGAACGGAGGAGAAGCCACAGACAGGCCGGGAACCGGGCGAAGCTGGGTCTCGGAATCTAAAAAAGATACTAAGTCAATCTAAGTCAGTGGCTGAAGACCAAAGATAGCTGAAGATAGC